GGGAGACAGTAGGCAGGGGCGAGGAGATGGTATTGGAAGCCAGGTTCCGTGGCAGTCAGGGGGAATAGTTTGCCACAAAGCCCCGAGTGGGTAGTGTACCAAGCCAGGAGCACTTTAAAGATGCTCCCCAGCAACTTTCCGTCAGGACTCACAGCAGCATTATCTCTACCGCTTCACTAACATGTGGCTCGGGGGTGGGGGTGGGGAGATCATCCTCTCTTATCTCACTGTCAGTCCTAAGCAAACAGATGAGGCCCAGGTAGCCAGGAGAGCATGTTCATAGAGCTGTCTGGCACTGGATCCCACCCCCACCACCTGCGATTTCCGGAGGGCGTGAATCTCGGAATTGGGACCAGGTACAGCCGACATTCATTGGTTGCTGACTATGTATCTGGCACCCCATCTGCATCATCACCCTGGATCTTCACAAGCACCTTCTAGACCCGTATTCCACAGAGGAGGAAACTGAGGCTCAGAGAGGTCAAGCCACTTGCCCAAGGCAGTATAGCCAGTAAGAGGCACAACTGGGATCTGAGCTCAGGTCTCCTCTGACCCCCAATCCCATGCCCTCAATGACTCTTGCTATCGAGTCAGGTCCCACTAGCTCATATGATTCCAGAGACCCAAACAGATGCTCTAATGGTGTTGTGTCTCTTTCCCATGTTAATGCAGCCTAGCCACACCTGTTGTCTCCAGGAAACAAAAGCACAGGAACGTCAAAGAGATCATGAAAAACATGCTATTAAAAGAAAATCACTTTCACTGCCCACCAATCTTTGTGTTCCAAACCCCACGGAATGTTTTTATTCTATCCCCAGATCTTTCCCCAGAAGAGTGGCCACACATAGAGGTTTTGCCTATCATCCCAACCCAATGATTCCTAGTGTCCCATTCACTCCAAATGCTGCCCCCACATTTATTAGACAAGAAATTATGTGCTCACCTTACCTATGAAAAGGCAAAGAAGCCTCACACATCAGGTCTTTGGCAACCCTGACACACGATGCTGAGTGAGGATCCACAGCTCTCCCAAGAGACAGCGGGCGCCTGGAGGAAGAAATAAGGAATAAAGAGATGGGGAATATGATTTAGAGAAGATTCCTAGTACAACTCAGCTTGTTTGGAACTGGAGTGGTTGCAGAACAGGAGTGGAAGAATGCGTGGAACGCAGAGCTCGCCCTACTTGAGAGTGAGCAGGGTTGAGCACTTGCTCTGCCTCATACCAAAAGGGGAAATTCAGACACAGACACATGCGTACAGGGAAGAAAATGTGAAGTGGCATGGGGAGAAGTGGGCCATTTACAAACCAAGGAAAGATCCCTGGAAGAGATTCTTCCCTCTTACTACTAAGAAGGAACCAACCCAGCTGGCGCTTTGATTTGGACTTCCAGCCTGCATAAATGTAAACCATAAACTTCTGCTGTTTATGCCGCCATGTTTGTGGTACTTTTCAGAATATCCCTATCAAACTACTAGAGATTCTGTGACCAAGCAGTGGGATGATGTGATAAGGAACATCTGGAAGATTGGAAGAGGTTTTGGAACTAGGTAATGCATACAGGCTGGAAGCGTTTTGACATGCATGACACAAGAAGCCTAGAGTGTCTTTAGGAAACACCGGGGGGAAATATGAACACCAAATGCAATTGAAACGAGGGTTAAAAAAGAATTCTTTGCTGTAGAGAAAGGATCTCTGACTTAGAGAATACATATATCATGATCACAGAAATGTTGCTAGCACTATGTGTATTAAAGGTGCTTGTGGTGTGTTTTCAGATGGAGACTAGGAAGAGGTTATTGGAAGCATGAGGAAAGGCGATCCTAGTTTTATAGTGGCAAAGGTTTGGGCTGTATTGTGTTCTGAGTGTCTCTGAGGAAAGTAGAAATTGTAGGTGATGAACTTGCCCATGTAGCTGATTTCTAGCATTGGAGCTCAGGGCCCAGTATCCCAAAATGAGGGCTTCAGAAGTAGTTTCAGGTGAAGAAGATTTTCTCTGACATTCTTGGTCCTCCTGTCTCTCAGTCCCATTCAGCCCCAGGGGCTAAACATAGAGACCAGAATCCCTCTTCCCAAAGGTAGGTCCTTGAAACCAGAAGCTCTTTTTTCTAAAGATAGTCACAAAACCTAGAGACGGTATTGTAATGTTTTCCACATTTTTATTATTATTATTATTATACTTTAAGTTCTAGGGTACATGTGCATAACGTGCAGGTTTGTTACATATGTATACTTGTGCCATGTTGCTGTGCTGCACATTTTCATGTAAAAACTGTCCATGAAGAAATGATCTAACCTATCTTGTTTGAATGGAAGTCACAAGACCCCCATTCCAGAGGGTGTCCTGCCCCAAATCCAGGAGGAAGAACTGTGTGCTCAGATAGGCCAAGCAGAGTCTAGATGGACAGGCCTTGCCGGGTTTCCCCGACTCCGTCTATTAGCATTAGATCATAGCCTTTTTGTCCCATCATATTTCTACACAACTGTCCGTACTCCTTTGAGCCCAGGCATAAAAATAGATTGTTTCCCATGTATCTTTGGCTATTAACACTAAAGGCTCCTAGGGATACACTTCGAATAAGCTGGTATGCCTTATGTCCTATGGATCTGCCTTTTGTGACTTGAGTTTTCAGCAAAACTTAGGAGGACCAGGGGGAGTCTTGGCCAACACACTGACACACTGAGAAAAGTATTTAGTATTTAATCTGGTTACTCCTAGACGCGTATAGTAAATGGGAGAGAAGAGAGAGAAATTAGCCAACGAAGCACTGAGGAGAAGGAAACCAGCACTGGATGATTCAGAAGGTACTCAAAGTGTGCTGATACCTGGTCCTGGAAACAGGTGCGAGGGTGTGCCTGGAAAATCATTAGCCTAAGAGGAGAGGCATGTGTCTCACGGATCCAATCAACCATCTCTGCAGAAGTTAGGAATTGAGATATGGGAGATATGGATATTCAAGGAAGATCTGTAGACAACTTCTTGTCTGATGGCCTGGACTCATGTGAATTCCATGGGAAGCCAACGATTTTTTGAGAATTTTATACCAGAAAAACGTTGCCAGACTGGACTGAATGGGGACAAAAATGGGATGAAATGAAAGGAGGCTGTTGGAGTTCCTGGATTGTACCTGCAAGAAAGGGACTGACTGAGGTACCCAGCTGTGACCATTTCTTCATTTTCAAGATGGGGAAGTAGGACTCCAAAGTTGGATCAGAGGTTGGCGTGGCCTTCACTTCCCCCAAGAACCAGGGGCACGTTACTAGGGGACTGGGACATCTGTCTCTTGGTCCCAGAAACGGAGGTCACCTCCTGAGTTCCAGGCATTGGTCTCACCTCCACGGCTTCAGAGGCATGGATGGGCTGTAGCAGCCCAGGCTGGGGGAAGAGCTCCCACCCCACTGCCCAGGGCTTAGGGTGTGAAGCTGTTACCCCACTGGGCCTGAAGGACAGACCATTGAGCCCAAGCAGAATCTTTTCCATCCTTAGAATGTAACAGAATTTGTTCCCACTAGGTTTCAAAAGTGCTTAGGGCCCATGTACTCCAGTAGTTTTTCAGATTTCCTGCTCTTCGTTTGATAAGCCCTATTCGGTACCAGTCCCACAATTGTCTTTCAGAAGCAGATAACTTGTCTAGCTTCACAGGTGCAGTGGCAGAGAAACTTCCCATCTCAGCATGAGTCATACCTGGAGACTCACCCATTCCAGATACAGAAGATTATCAGGTGAGATATTGGAGAACTGATATTGGAGTGAGTTAAGACTTTGGGGATGTTGTGATGGAATGAATGTATTTTCTATGTGAGGATGTTAATTTGTGCCATGCAGTGGATGCAGAAGATGTACTATTATGGATGGAGTTGTGTTTCCCTACAATTCACAGGAAGAAGTACCAGCCCCCAGTGTTTTAGAATGTGACCTTATTTGGAGAGAGTCTCTAGTCAGGTCATGTGGTTAAAGTGAAATTATGAGGATTGACCCTGCCCAACAGGGTTGCTCTCCTTACAAAAAGGTGACAATAGGTATCCAGAACTGTGAGATGAAAAATACACAATGTTTAAGTCAGACAGTCTCTGGAATATTTTTGCAGCGGCACTAGAAAACTAATAAAATACACCTCTATCAACAGCATTAAAAGCATACAACCCATCGTAGAACCAAAGAAACACACCCATCTAATCACAGGTTTCCCCTTCATCTCCCATTGAACATCCCTGGACAACTAACTCTTCCGAGTTCAGACCGGGAAACCTGATCACACATTGGGCTGTAGCTCCTCGGCTGCAGGTGACTCACTGGCTGACAGGGATCCAATGGAGCTTGCGCTGCTCCATCAGACAGCATTCCATCATCCCCAGGATGCATAGAGGCCAGGCATGAAGGTCTCCAAAAACAAAAGATTCTAGTCTGAAAAAGAGAAGAATCAGACAAATCTAAGCAAGTGGGATTCCATTTCTAGGGAACCTAGAATAGGTAATGTTCCTTAAAATTTTTCATCTCGTTTTCTCTGTACTGTCTTTGGGTCCCTGCTCATGTTTACAAAAGAACTCCATGGTACAGGGAGGGCTGATGAAAATATTGATTGGACTATGTTTGTCCTATTCATCCTATTTTCCATACATTGATGCTTCTTATTTGTTGTTTAAGCCATAAAGCTCTTTCCCTTACTTTGCGCTTTCAGTAAGCTACAGCTTGACATCACTATTGCTCACTAGGTTCCTCTTCTCAATCATCCCCTGAAATGCTGTAGCAGATGTGTGAGCTTCCTCTGCCAATCTTCACACCAAAGCAGCCTTTTTCTCTTTCTTCCTATAACTCACAGGCATCAATCCCCTTGAACTCTCACGCTTCACTCCCCACCGCCCAATCAGAGTTCATTGTCAACCCTGTTGTACTAATTCTCCTCGTTCATATCTGAATTTACAAATGGAAAACACACACTCCAGGGTAAAATATCTCAAGATATAGTTTCAGAAAAAGACACGTCAAATTACCCAGTAGACATGCAAGGATAACTTAGAAATTTATTTGTACATCCCATTTGACAGAAAGATTGGCGCTTTAAAGCAAAACAATTAGCATAATGAGAAATAAGTCACTCAGTGAGATGTGGTGCTTTGGACCAGGTACACAGCTCTGTTTCTGGATAGGAACAGGGTTCTGCCAAGTGTCTTTGGTTTTCAAAGTGTTGCTCCAGACATGTAGGATCACCTGGCGGCACCGTCCAGAACGATTTAGTTGTTGCTGTCTTCATGGGGGGTTTTCTTGGTCCACTTGTGCAGTGAGCATTTCTCTTCAACTACTTTCATAACACTTTTCTAATATTCTGAAAAAACAGAAAGTAGGAAATCCCGATGAGGGGACTTCTTGGCTCTACATCTTTTCTCTATGGATCCCAAGTGGAGCTCTGGAGGTGACCTGACCACATTGCCCAACTGCACTATTCAGGAAGCTCTGGCTACTATCCTGCCACACCCCCATTTCACTCTTGACCAAACTGTCCTCTGATAAAGGTAGAATAATCTGTGTGGCTACAGGTTGGGCCCTCTGGGGTGTGTATTTCCCACTTCTGATGGGCTCAAGAAAATTTTGATTTTTGTCATTTATCCAGCTTTCGTTTCATGGTTTGACTGAGAATGCCATCCTTTACTGCTTTCTACATATGAAGGAGACGGGCTGTTTACGAGATGTTTCAAAATTCACGGGAAACATTTGACAAAAATGACCACATATTGAGCTTCAAGGCACAACATAATAAATTCCTTTGGGTTGCAATCCCAGAGTATATTCTCTTGTACACATACTCAGGTGGCTGGAGATCCACTGAAAAGAAAAGCAATGGGAAAGTCACAGCTGCTCTGAAATTCAGCAATACACTTATAGGAAAAAGTGCTAAAAATACAAAGACTTGGGACCCAGATGAAAGCACTATGAAAGCTAACCGATATTAACATTAACATGAATATTAGTATGTAAATCTCTTGAGGAAATAATCGTTGTCTGACTTCTCCTAAAGGCTGACCATTCTCTGCATAACTTGATGCTAGGGGCAAGGAACATATACTACTCCTAGCTTTGGATTCATATCCTTAAATGACCATGATGACAAGCACTGAAAACAAAAATATCAGGAAAAGAATCACAACAGTGTCCCCCGAAAAACCAGACTGCATTTCAGTGCAAGGCTGTTGTGGGTTCAGCCTGGTTCCCTCCCCCCACATTGGGACAATGACTGTTGCTCATAGACTGCAAGTCACTCATTGGTTGCACCACTGAACACTAGGGCATGAGCCGTTTCCGTGGACACTCCCTAAGCCTACTGATACAAACCTGGAAGTAACGAAGGTTTCTGTTTAAAAAGAAACGAAAAGATTATCGTCATGGCAAAAAAAGAATGAACTGCAATAGTGATCTCAGAGTCAGGAAAGCTGGAAAATGAACAGATTCTTGAAAATTGTATTTAGCTGTATGTACACTTTAACTGGGCCTCATTTGCTTACTTACATGGATTCGCGATGGGAGAGGTGTTGAAAAGGTTTAGGAAGGTTACCTTGCTTCTTGTATCAGCCTATTCACTTTCTCTGTTGCTGTATGGCATATAGTGAAGTTCTGGAAAATTCCACCATCCAGTCACAAGAGAATGAGAGAGAAAAAGGTAAAGATCAGTGCAATAATAATATCACCATTAAGGTAACCTAGAAACACAACTAATAAAAACGACCATTTAGGAAACTGAGGAAATGAAACACTACCACGGAAACACCCACTACTTTTCCTTGGAGCAAACTGCACTACAGATATATTGGAGTTGACAATGTTTAGTATTGAGGGGAAAATGCTTGAAAAATCGCAGGATGCCACACACCACATGCCCCTCAAGTCGGAAGGGCACCACCCACCCCAACCTCCGGTGGGGTCCCCTCCTTGGCAAGGCACTGGTCTTTCGGGCCATATTGGGTGGCTCTGAAAAGACCCTTTGGGTTCCCGTGGTGCTCGGGTGCTCCTGAGGGAATGCACTTGCTCCTGGTGTACCTGAGGACAGCCTTCGTGCCTTCGGACTCTGCCAGTTTGCCCATCTCCCCCGGCAGCAGCAGGCGCACAGCGATCCGGGTCTCCCAGGCAGTGATGGTCTGGCGCTTGGTGGAGCGGGCCAGGCGACCAGCCTCGGTGGCGATGCGGTCCAGTATGTCATGGACCAAAGAATCCATGACACTCACGGCCTCCCGGGAAAGGCTGAGGCCCTGGTGAACCTGCTTCAGCACCCGGCGGAAATAGGTGGCGAAGCTGTCCCCGCGGCAGTTGGCGTGGCACCTGCAGGGCCCACGGCGCCCTCGCTTCCTCTGCTTGCTCTGCTTTTGGGCCATCGTGGAGTCGGCCTCTTTGGGCTCCTGGGTGATCAGCTGTTCCTCAGAGGTCGTCTCAGAGGAAGGTTCAGCCATGACGGATGCAGCGGCCATTACACCGCACGACCAGACAATAGCGGTTGTGGATCGGAGAAGCGGGGGCACTTGGGTACGCAGTATGGCGCCAAGTCTCGGGCCAGCTTCACTTCTGATTGGATGAAGTGTCACACAGGGAGTCTCTCAGCAAACCTACCTGCGTTGAAGGTGACTGGATGGTCCCGTTGCTTGGCATCTCGTCAACCAATCACAGTGCGCGTCTGCGGGCCTAAGCGCCCCTTGTGGCCTGGCTCGGAGAAAGTTACACAGACAGATGCCTCACAGGGCAAAAGCGCATCCACCCTTCTCAGCTGATCCATGTCACACCGTGAGCACTTTGAAGGGTGTCACTGAAAACTCCCAAAGTTTAGCAATTTCAGTTCATGATCCTTGAAGAGAGACAGACCTCCTGAACCCAAGTCCACTGTGCCAGAGGAATGACTGTGGCCACGTGTGGAACAATTCTCACTCATCTCAGAATCTACTGTTATCCTGGGCTAAGTCACCTGGCTTGAGCAGAAACTCCCTGACATGGCTACTGAGGGCTCCAGGGCATCAAAGGACCTAGCGGTCTGGCTCCTGGCTTCAGTTCTGATCAACATCTTCCGTGAATCAGGAGAATGAGAAATGGCCATACCCCAGCCTCCAAGCAGACAATAGAAACAGAAAGGTGCTTTTATTAAAAACATATGACAACACTGAACGTTGACCACGTTTTAAAAAGTTATAAAAAAAGGAAAACAAAACAACAACCACAAATCACAACTCAGAAGGCGGTAATGGCTAATAATTTTAAGAGATATTGGGTTAAAAATATCCTCTTAAATCTCCTAGGAAGCCCACGAGGGAGAGAAAGGGATTCCAAAACCGAAAATTATGTTCAAGTTAGAAAGATAGCTTTCAAGAGTCTCTGACAATATATGCAAAGACATTCCTTAAATGCATTTAACTAACATTAAGTTGCAGGAAATGAACAAGAAAATTCTTAAGAAATGCTAAAGAAATAAAGGTCATCAATGAACTGTCATTTCAAAGGCCAGGCTTTCAAGTGTATTTGATGTCATGTCTTTAACAAACAACTTATTCTACTCCTAATAACTCGGTTCATAATTAAGAAGGACAAAAAGGCTCATTTTTGTTATTAGATAACATCGTATATGATATGCTCCGTGACTGAACTCTAGTTAACCATTTCTGGACAGCCCCATTACAAATGATGATTTTATAAATCTACTTAAACGTTTAGCAAGCCAATCCTTCTCTTAGTTTGGTACAAGGCACAAGAGACCTGTCCACAACAATCTCTGTATTCATATCAGTAAGTCAGCATGACATTTTTCTTTAAAAAAAAAAAAAAAAAGGCAAACAAAAAACAGAGAAAGAGCCACATCGTTTTTCTTCACAATCTGCAAGGTTAAACATCCCAGGGAGGTTCTCACTGGTTCATTTCCAGGTCACCTCACCACACATTCAGCCATGGCTTGTGGTGGCTCAACGGCTAGAAAGCCTTTATTGCCTACGCCAGTAGTGACTATGGCATGAGCTGCTCTCATTAGGATGTTCCCATCATCTACGTGATGCAAAATTATAATATATACTCCTTATGTTGTTTCTTTAATTCTCTTTTATTTAATTTTAGAGACAACAATCTGTCGCCCAGGCTCGAGTGCATTGGTGCGATCTCAGCTCACTGCCACCTCCACCTCTACAGGGATACGCCACTATGCCCAGGTAATTTTTGTACTTTTAGTGGAGACAGGGTTTTATCATGTTGGCCACGCTGGCCTTGAACTCCTGGCCTAAAGTGATCCATCCACATCGGCCTCCCAAAGTGCTGGGATTATAGGCATCTGCCACTGCGCCCTGCCTGTTTCCTTAATTTTTAATATAGTCATAATCTTTATTGTATCAGGCTGTTTTCCATTTTATTTTAAGTTCAGGGGTACATGTCCAGAATGTACAGGTATTTTAGAGAGGTAAACGTGTGTCATGGGGCTCTGCTGTGCTGATTATTTCATCACCCAGGCATTAAGTCTGGTAACCATTAGTTATTTTTCCTGATCCTCTCCCTCCTCCCACTCTCCACCATCAGATAGGCCCCAATGTGTGTTGTTCTTCTCTATGTGTCCATGTGTTCTCATCATTTAGCTCCCACTTATAAGTGAGAACATGCACTATTTGGTTTTCTGCTTGTATTAGTCTGTTCTCAGGCTGCTATGAAGAAATAGGCGAGACTGGGTTATTTATAAAGGAACGAGATTTAATCGACTCACAGTTCCACAGGGCTGGGGAGGCCTCACAAAACTTACAATTATGGTGGATGGAAACGCAAACACATCCTTCTTCACGTGGTGGCAGGAAGGAGAAGTGCAGAGCGAAGGGAAGGGGAAAGCCCCTTCTAAAACCATCAGATCCTGTGAGAACTCACTTACTATCATGAGAACGGCATGAGGCAAAGTACCCCCATGATTCCATCATCTCCATCTGGTCCCACCCGTGACACGGGGAGAGCATGGGAATTATAATTCAAGGTGAGATTTCGGTGGGGGACACAGAGCCAAACCATATCACTGTTCTTGCAGTAGTTTGCTAAGGGTAATGACCTCCAGCTCAATCCAAGTCGCTGCAAATGACATGATGTTGTTCTGTTCTGTGGAGGCATAGGATTCCACAGTGTATATGTACCACAGTTTCCTTATCCAGCCTATCATTCATGGGCATTTGGGTTGATTTCATGTCCTTGCTATTGAGAACTGTGCTGCAATGAACATAAGCATGCACGCGTCTGTATAATAGAAGGATTTCTATTTCTTTGCCTATATGCCCAGTAATGGCATTGCTGGGTCGAATGGTATTTCAGACTGCAGGTCTTTCGAGAATTGCCACACTGTCTTCCACAATGGTTGAACTAATTTACACTTCCCCAAAGACAGTGTGTAAGCATCCCTTTCTCTCCACAAACTTGCCAGTATCTGTTATTTTTGGACTTCATCATAGTAGCCATTCTGACTGATGTGAGACGGTATCTCATTGTGGTTTTGATTTGCATTTCTCTAATATCAGTGATGCTGGCTTTTTTTATTTGCTTGTTGGCCCTGTGTAGGTCTTCCTTTGAGAAGTGTCTGTTCATATCCTTTGCCCATTTTTTAATGGGGTTGTTGGTTTATTTCTTGTAAATGTGGTTAAGTTCCTTACAGATGCTGGATATTAGACCTTTGTCAGCTGCATCATTTGCAAAAATGTTCTCCCATTTGGTAGGTTGTGTGTTTACTGTGATGAGAGTTTCTTTTGCTATGCAGAAGCTCCTTAGTTTAGTTAGATACCATTTGTCAATTTTTGCTTTTGTTGAAATTTCTTTTGGCATTTTAGTCATGAAATCTTTGCTGGTACTGGTGTCCATGTCCCAAATGGTGTAGCCTAAGTTGTCTTCCAGGGTTTTTACAGTTTTGGATTTTACTTTTAGGTTTTTAGTTTATCTCATGTTAATTTTTGTATACAGTGTAAGGAAGGGGGTCCAGGTTCAATCTTCAGCATATGACTGGTCAGCACCTCCAGCACTATTTATTGCATAGGGAATCCTCTCCACATTGCTTGCTTTTTTCAGGTTTGTCGAAGATCATATAGTTGTAGGTGTGCAGTCTTAATTTCTGGGTTCCTCTCAAAATAATAATATAATAATAACAATAGCAACAATAATTTCTGCGTTCTCTATTCTGTTCCACTGGTCTCTGTCTCTGTTCTTGTACCAGTACTGTAGCCCTGGAGTATAGTTTCAAGTCGGGTAGCATGATGCCTCCAGTTTTCTCCCTTTTGCTTAAGATTGCGTTGGTCTATTCGGGCTCTTTTGTTGGTTTCATGTGAATTTTAGGATCTTATTTCCAGTTCTGGGGAGAATTTCAATGGTAGTTTAATGGGAATAACATTGAATCTGTAAAGTGCTTTGGGAAGTATGGTCGTTTTTTTTTTTTTTTTTTTTAATTTATTTATTATTATTAAACTTCAAGTTGTAGGGTACATGTGCACAACGTGCAGGTTTGCTACATATGTATACTTGTGCCATGTTGGTGTGCTGCACCCATCAACTCGTCATTTACATCAGGTATAACTCCCAATGCAATCCCTCCCCCCTCCCCCCTCCCCATGATAGGCCCCGGTGTGTGATGGTCCCCTTCCCGAGTCCAAGTGATCTCATTGTTCAGTTCCCACCTACGAGTGAGAACATGCGGTGTTTGGTTTTCTGTTCTTGTGATAGTTTGCTAAGAATGATGGTTTCCAGCTGCATCCATGTCCCTACAAAGGACACAAACTCATCCTTTTTTATGGCTGCATAGTATTCCATGGTGTATATGTGCCACATTTTCTTAATCCAATCTGTCACTGATGGACATTTGGGTTGATTCGAAGGAAGTATGGTCGTTTTAACGATACTGATTCTTCCTATGCGTAAGCATGGATGTTTTTCCATTTGTTTGTGTCACTTCTGACTTCTTTGAGTAGTGGTTTGTAGTTCTCCTTGTAGAGGTCTTTCACTTTCTTGGTTAGCTGTCTTCCTGGGAATTTTATTCTTTTTGTGGCAAATGTGAATGGGAGTTCGTTCGTGATTTGGCTCTCAGGTTCATTGTTGTGGATGTACAAGAGTGCTGGTGATTTTTGCACATTAATTTTGTATCCTGAGGATTTGCTGAAGTTGTTTATTAGCTTGAGAAGGTTTTGGGCTGAAATGATGGGGCTTTCTAGATATAGGATCATGTCTGAAAACAGGGACATGATTTTTACTTCCTGTCTTCCTATTTGAATGCTCTTTATTCCTTTCTCTTGCCTGGTTGCCCAGGCTGGAACTCCCAAGACTATGTTGAATTGCAGTGGTGAGAGGGCATCCTTGTCTCGGGCCAGTTTCCCAGGGGAGTGCTTCCAGCTTTTGCCCACTCAGTATGATGTTGGCTGTGGGTTTGTCATAGATAACTCTTAGTATTTTGAGGTGTGTTACTTCAGTACATAGTTTATTGAGAGTTTTTAACATGAAGGGGTGTTAAATTTTATCAAAAGCCTTTTCTGCAGCTATGGAGATAAACATGTGGCTTTTCTCTTTAGTGCTGTTTATGTGATGAATCACAATGGTTGCTTTGAGTATGTTGAACCGACCTTGCGTCATGGGGGTCCCGGGGATGAAGCCCACGTGATCGTGGTGGATACACTTTTTGATGTGCTGCTAGATTTGATTTGCCAGTATTTTGTTGAGGATGTTTGCATCAATGTTCATCAAGGATATCATCCTGAAGGGTTTTCTTTTTCTGTTGTTGCATTTCTCTTGTGTCAGTTTTATACAATCATCGTTTTACTCCTCTTGCTCATCCACTCTATTACCTTTCCTTCTTGGCACCTCCAATCATCTTCTTGTGATCATTTAACATCTCTTTAAATGAGATTCTTCAGAAATTTCTTTTAAAAAGTTTTTGTTGGTATCTACACTAAGAGTTTTCCATTTCTCTCAAATCTCATCATTTCTGACTTAGGTCCTGGAAGAAATGAACTCTGAAATAAAGTTTAGTGTGTGGGAAGCTTATTTAGGGTCAATAGCTGAGGAAGGGCCAGGAGGGAGGCAGGAGTGGGCATAGGGAGAAGTACATCTTGAGTATAAAGCCAATGGAATCCTACTCTGATCTCAGGGTGACATCTGAAGATAAATGGGCCCATCAGTGTATTTGCCGTTGTGCCAAAATACCAGACCATTCAACTTCTCCTGGATCAGGCAGTGTATATGGGCAAGGTAACTAAGAGTAGCTACGGTAATACCGGAAAGGTCTAATGGCTCAGGACTGGCACCTGCTTGCATTCCCAACAACCAAAACAGTCAATCCATCCTTAAAGGGGACGCTGGCTCGTCCACACCTACCACAGCCTCGTTCTCTAATAATACTTTAGCTAGCAATGACATTCTGTGTTGACACATATCTCCTGTGATATTGACTTTTATTTATTGATATAAGGAGGTTGGCTGTCAAACTATTTGTTATTCCTTTATGGTCCTTGTAGCTGTCTTTTTTTCTTTTCTCAGCTATGGTGATTTCTGTTTTTACTTTTCTTAAGCTTTAGAAGGATGGGTACAGGTGTCCTCCTTAAAAGTAGGATATCATGTCTTCCTTCAATACTGTGAAATTACCAGCTATTTTCCCTTTGATTAGAATTCTTCCCAACTTGCCCAGTATTACTTATGAGATATACTTTTTGCTTTTTAGTCAAATCCTTAAGGTTTATCAGTTCTCCTCACCCCTTTCTCACGTGATATGTCCCTATGAAATTTTCACAATGACTTTACATCTGTCTTCTCTTTCTCCGATTCTCAGTCCAACTGGGCCTAATCTGCCATTTAACATTTCTTTAATTTTTCTGTTGTTGCCATTCAACTTTCATATTTTGGCAAAGCTCCATGACATAGACCTGGACAATGATTTTTTGGATAGGACCCTGAAAGCCCAGGCAACAAAAGTGAAAAGTAGACAAATGCGATGGTGTCAAATTAAAGATGTTTTTACAGAAAAATAATAAATAATAGAGCAAGGAGACAACCTGTTACACAACGTAATGCATACACGATCTAGTTAAATTTCTA